CCATCAGGGACATGGTGATAAGGATCACTGCCCCACCTTCTTTAACAGCTTGTGGAGACGAAAATAGAATACATACCATTGCAACCCAGGACAGTCGGTGTGTTGCTGTCTGTTGGGAATGTCCTTGTGCCATGTCCTCTGTGCTGCCAGAGAGAGGATGTGTTTGGGCAAGGAGGTCATTCTGAGCAGAAAGTGTGGAAATGCAGCACAGTTCACATGTGTCCCCTCTGTGCCTTCTTTCCTGCTGTATGGATTGGTGTTTCTCTCTGAAACCATGAGTGGCACTCACTGACAGCTTGTTCCTTGTGATAGTTCTATATACATATGTCTTAAACTTTTAAAGCAGCCTTTAGAAAAGGTTAAAGACAATTCTCCACCCGTTTTTAAGATATTAAAGCTGTGGCTGCTCGATCAATATCACCAAGTGTCTAATCCGTTGCTGAGTGCTGCATACCTGCGTAGAATTGAACTCTAAATATGGAACTGTCCGTGTTTGTTTTTCTTGTGGTTTCTCCAGGACCTGATGGAGTTCCTAAACCCAAACAGCAGTGACTGCACCTTGGTCCTGTTCTACACGCCCTGGTGCCGCTTTTCTGCCAGCCTGGCACCTCATTTCAACTCCTTACCCCGAGCGTTTCCAACCCTTCGCTTCCTGGCACTGGATGCATCCCAGCACAGCAGGTAACTCACATTCCTTGTGCTCTGGCAGCAGTTTAGTTTTGTTAGCTTTGTGTTTTGGAAACAGTGGGGGGGAGGTTTCCACATCAAGTGACTGTTCAGTTTAGTGAAACTGACACTGCCTCTGTTGTGACTGTCTTTATTTCTTCCTCTGGTAGAGTTCATTTCCTTCATGCTTTGTGTTTATGTCCACCAGTTTATCAACTCGATTTGGAACTGTGGCTGTACCAAATATCCTCCTTTTCCAAGGTGCTAAACCTATGGCTAGATTTAATCATACAGACAGGACGCTGGAAACCCTGAAAGACTTCATCTTCAACCAAACAGGTGTGTGAATCTGCCCTGCTGTGTCGGGGGCAGAACAGGCTGGATTTCAGCTCCAAACTGGGCTTTCCTCTCCCTATGTTTGTTCTTTCAAATGAATGTCATGAAGACCCTGAGAGGACCCAGCAGATGCTTATATAATCAGTTGCTGCTGTGAGCTGCATTTTGGGGTGTGCTGACAGCAGAAACTCAACTCCTTGGGCTGCTGTCACAGAGGGGAAACAGTGGGGTTTAGCTAGAGAGGTGCCAGAAGGATGGAACACATCTTGCTGCCCAAATATTTAATGGAGAGTGGAATGAATTTCATTCTCTTTCCCAGGTAGCTCTCTTCTAATCCACACTGAACTGCTGTGTGGATCTACATTGCCAGAAATGCACAAAACTGAGATTCCTGAAAAAACCACTCTCCACAAACTTACCCAGGGCTGTGGGAGGACAGAACTTCTCCTGATATAAAAGTACACATTAAAAATCAATGTTTTTATGGAAGTACATGGTATACAGGATATATGTTAACAGACAAGGGCCATCCCAGCAAACCTGTAAATCCACGAGCAGGAACAAAGATCCAGACAGAACCACATCACTGTATTTGGTGATTATAATGTTGATCAAGTGCTTTGTTTTTTAGGGATAGAAGCTAAAGGGGATGTGTCTGTGACAGAGGAAGACTGGGAAGGGCCCCTACCAAGTGTTCTGACCAAGGGCATAGACTGGCTGCTCCTGTTTTCTGTGCTCTTCCTGGCCAGCTTCGTCATGTACGCGACCGTTCGAACGGAAAGCATCCGCTGGCTGATCCCAGGGCAGGAGCATGAACATCAGGAATAATCTCAGAACCTGAAAGAGGGACAATTTTTTTCCACTTATTGGTAAAGTGGAAATCTCTGTGGACTAGAAGTGCCTAAGAATGAACTGTTGACTTTGTTGGCTGTAATTTATAATAAGGACTAAAATTTCGCTCTATTTATCAACTGCTGAATCTGTACAAAGCACATTTGTGGCCGTGATGGTGTCAGTAAACAAGTGTGAAGAACATGAACTAAAGTATTTATTAAGCTGCTCTGTTTGGCTTCTTTTTCATGGACTTTAATGAGTGACACAGTCTGCTTTGCCCTTCTGAGGAGCTCCCTGAACTCTGGGGATCAAGGAAGATTTTTACAGCACATTAGTCTGTGCATGGCACTGCAAGGAAAACGCTGGTGAAGGGAGATGTTGGCAAACTGGTTTGACTGTCAGTAAAATGAATTCTGAAGAGACTTTAAATGGTGTTTTAAAAGACAGTGTACTTCAGATGAGCTATTCCATTGTCTGCCAGCAGTAACAATTCCAAAGCTGTTTCACCCCATGGTGGTGACTGTTCCCACCTCTGGCACTGGGGTTTGGTGCTGGTGTCCTCGTTCACTCTGCTCTGAGTTTTGACTTAGTGGCAGTTCTTGATGAGATTTAGAATAATTTCCCAGGCTCACCTCACTATTTTTGTGTGTGTATACATAACTTATTTGCCATTTTTTATTGAATTAAACTGGATTAATTATCCTTTTAAAAAAATCAGGTTTCTAGTGTAACCTTTTAAGTCACTTTCTTAGAGGACTAAAAACATGCAGCTTCTGAACTATGGCTCACCTGGCTAAACTTAGTCTTGATGCTTGTTTAAATTTCTACTACCATGTTTGCTGGTTCCAGTTTCCAGCTGAGGCTGCATAACTAAAAAAATAATATCAGTTATTTATAATTAGTATGGAAGACCTTGGATAAGGCATGGACTGGTCTATGGTGTGGGTTTTGGATTATTTGCATATTACATATGTATTATCAGGGGATATGCAATATCCCCATATTGCATACTAAAAGCCTCATGGTGGAGGCTTGCAGAGTACCCTGATAGGAAGCTTTGGAGAGCAAACTAAGCTAAGACAAAAGCAGTCAAAAAGGCAACTGCTGTGCTCAGTTCTGGGCCCCTCAGTTCAGGAGGGACATTGAGGGGCTGGAGCAGGTCCAGAGAAGAGCAACGAGGCTGGTGAAGGGACTGGAGCACAAGTGCCATGAGGAGCGGCTGAGGGAGCTGGGGGTGTTCAGCCTGGAGAAGAGGAGGCTCAGGGGAGACCTTAGCACCCTCTGCAACTCCCTGACAGGAGGTTGGAGTCAGGTGGGGGTTGGTCTCTTCTCCCAGGCAACCAGCAGCAGGACAAGAGGGCACAGACTCAAGCTCTGCCAGGGGAGGGTTAGGTTGGATATTAGGAAGAGATTTTTTACAGAGTGCTCAGGCATTGGAATGTGCTGCCCAGGGAGGTGGTGGATTCACCATCCCTGGAGGTTTTCAAGCTGAGACTGGATGTGGCACTTAGTGCCATGGTCTAGTGACCACAGTAGGGTTGGACTCGATGGTCTTGGAGGTCTTTTCCAAACAGGCTGATTCTGCGACTCTATGATCTGCGACTCTA